AAAGTAGAGTGACACCACACAGAAGCCTGCTATGTCAGGAATGCAGAGGGGAAGATGTTGCAAGCTTTGTGCAAGTCTCTTTTGGAAACAGAATACAGAAGCTCTTGGAGGGACTGTGCAAATTTTCTTCCTTTTTAAACGTGTACGGGAGCATTGAAACAGCATGCAGCTAGAGCAGTTATTTCTGGAGTTTTTCTTACTTAGATTTGACACTTTCACTATTTCTTCCCCCTTTGCATGTGCTGTTCCTCACTCTCTTACCAGGACAGTGTGTTTTAACTTCTCTATGTTTAACTGAATTTACCTTTTTCTCACTCCTTCAGTCTCTGTGCTCTTGACTGCAGTGAAATAGCTGCTGATTAACGTGATTGTTCCTTGTAGGGTTGATCTTAGTGAGCTGGGGCTTTGGAATTGCCTCTTGTCTGGGACAGCATTCCAGAGGATGGCTGGTCACCATTGTGTTTAGTCTGAGCTGTTGTTTTTAATCAGGGCATTCACAGGATCCCTTCTGATTGGAACTGGTTCTTTATTACTTAAAAATTTGCTAAAACTGCATTAAGCTCTATAGCTCTATTTGTCACTATCTTTACAGTCAGTAGAAGATAGAACAAGAGAGTGGTTCTACCTGTACATCCAGGTAAAGATGTAAATGCGTGGAAATAATTTATCCCTCATAAAAATAAAAAGATCTGTTATTATAAATTGGAAATGGTAAAGCTGTGATTATCTCCTTTTACCAATATTATTTTACTGGTTTGACTTTTTTTAACAGATCAATGAACAGCCAAAGTTTGAAGCAAGCTTATATATGTACATATACTTTGTGGTTTTCATTATTTTTGGATCTTTCTTCATGTTGAACCTTTTTGTTGGAGTGGTTATCAGCAATTTTAACCAACAAAGGAAAAAGATAAGTACTACTTGAGCTAACTCAGTGTCTCCTGTAATCCAAATTTGATTAAGTGAATGCTGGTTTGACATGTAGATGTCTAACATTTTGAAATAACTCTTTAACTGGACAAATTAAAAATAATAACACTTTAAGCCACATTTTGAAAACAGGAGTCCCCTTTTCCTCAAGGCTTTTAGCAATTTACCTGTAAATTCTATTTTCCTACCAAGTCCTTAATTTGTTCTAAGTAGAGGACAAGGAGGAAGGAGGGAGTAGCTTTAGAGATGAGAAGCCAAAACCAGTTTGAATTCTGTCCTGATTCATTTAGATGTTAAAGTATCCAGAATAGAAAGGAAAATGGAGTAAATTATTCCACTTGGAAGACTTAAAACAAATAAACCTCTTGCTCATTCAAAAAAAAGCAGACCCCAACAGGAGGTTTACAATTTCAAGATTCACATTTGGAAGACAGAATCTCTACAGGAACCCTTTTTTATTTCCATAGCCTGACTCATACACCAAGTG